ATCACCAATTGTCATGCAAATGATAGGCAACAATTACAATTTTTCATGTTCAAAGTGAAAATTCAATTTCCTTCTTTTCTTCTAACACATAACGCCAAAGAAAAATAAGTTGCATAGCATGTGGATCTAGTAACAATTGTTATATCATTATTTTAACAGAGTTATACTTTGAACAATATTATCGAAATACCCACATCGCTTAGAGCTAGCATATTTGTATTCCGTATCTTCCTTACAAGCTCATTTGCAGTGATAATAAAAGATTAGATGTAACCAGATATCAGTGTTTACACTGGATATCGAATCACATGAAATCTTCTTACAGAAAGAAGTAGAGTTTCCAAGAAATGCACAGCAAGTCATAGGAAGAGTAGCATTTGCAAGTCCGACTCAAACTGAAGTAAACAGACTTTAAAAAGGCTGAAAATCACAAGTTTTTCTTATTTCAGTCGGAAACACTTACTTTGAGGAAATGCATGAGAGAGTTTCCAAAATCAACAAAAAAAGCCTTCATAATGACCACGCCATGCTCCCTGCCTCGAAAAAGAAAGCATGTGGAGTAACCTTGAGCCACATTCATGAGGAAAATGTAGTGGTTCAAGGTTCAAAAGAGTAGAATCGCCTCTCTGTGACCAGAAAACAGTATGTGACATACCTCCACTTTTAACTTCTGCAATAAGTTTTCCGCTATCAATGTAATAGATTATGTTTCCAGCATACTGCCACTCAACTGTAGGTCTATTCATTCTCTTAACTAATGAAAGAATTCACCGCCTGGCTTAGTAGTTTCAAATACCCCATTAACAGAATTTACATTCTTCATAGAGGCCACCAGAAAGAGAAAACAATAGGCACATACTGACATGTGATAACATGAATAGAGTAAATTTAAGAATGATATTATTTTGGAAAACTTCACAACCCACTCATGTATAGAGCAAATACCAAGATTTAGTACAAAGAATGGGTAATACAGCAATAATAAAAAACATAAGTTAAGACTTTTCTTTTCTGAAAAATTCAAAAGAGAGTCAAATAAAGTAGCTATCTTTAGGACTTGCTAATTTTTATGCTAAAAAAAGAATTATATCTCTAAGAAATCATGTCACATTGAGTACCCAATAATTCAATATGATATTTGTAGGAATAGTTTTGTTGTATTTAAGATCAATTTTATTTTGAAAATCCCAATTCAATGTTTCTTTTGACATTCAATTTAGGTCTAGCACTGATGGATGATTTGTTGGGGGAAATTTTTAATGTCACAAGTATAAATAAAATGAAGAAGAAAATACCAACTCTATGACAATCAAGAAGTGACACCTAGTGGCAAAGAGAAGTACAAACAACCTTAACATGAATCTCCATTGCAGGGAAAAAGTATATTAAGCAACTTAAAAAGTGAATAAAATTTGTGGAGTTAATTCTCCTAAAATTGTCAGTGAAAAAGAGTGAATAAGGTTCAATGTTTTATACGTAGTTTATGGAGAAGAAAAATAGTACACATCATTAATCATAATGCAAAAAACATGTTTCTATTGAGAGACGGCAATTACAAATTTAGGTTGAATTAATCGACAATTTTAAGGAAAGTGTTTCTATAACTTTACATTAAAATTAAGTTGCAAATCTAAATTTTTAATATACATCCATGTATGTAGGTGTTAGTAGGGGTTGAAGCAAATAAATAGGCTACATGTAAATGGTCCCCTATATAGATTCACCAAGATGGTGAATAACTTAAATAAGGATTGTGCTTGTCGTTTTTTTCTCTTCTGTGCTATTCATGTAATATTATCTCCATTCATGACGAATGTAAGGTATACTATGTGAAATCTCTTTCTAATTTCAAAATCTGAAACCAAAATACTGAAAATGTCAAGAATCAGGTGAAATATGATATGAGACAAACATCTAAACTTAATCACTTTTTCACACACACTAACCACCACCAGTATACTAATCCTATTTATAAGCCCATCAAAAACCTCATATAATATATAGTTAACATAGAAAAAAATTGAACAAAGTTCACAGCTAAAAACATCAAATTAAAAATATTTTTTTATAAAATAACCAGACCTAGATGAAGAGAATTGTTGGTTAAGCTTTGAAGCGTTGATACGGCAGGCATGGTTGCAAGAGTTTGAAGCAATTGAGGGTTATCTGCATGGAGATGCTAATATGGAGGGCGAGTGGGGAAGATGAATCTGAAACAGAGCACACAGAAACTCAATTAGTGTTTGCTTCATACTAATGACAATATACATACAAATTAAGGTGAGGATTTCTGTACATTACCTTTATTTGATTTTACCTGTGTCCAATCTAGTCAATATACAAAGACCCATAAAATTTTCGAAAAATAAACTGTTAAAAAAAAAGGAAAAATTTAACCCACACAAAGATAAATGACGAAGAGCTCTCCGACCAACCGGAAAGAAAGACCAATTTGTAGCAAAGGTATGCAACAATCTGCAGAGAAAGGAGCGGGAAGCAGGGGGAGAGAAGTCTGGGAAAAAATGGATTAGTAGAAGTGAAAATGAATGGGGAAATTAGTTGTCTCAACACAGATGTAATACGTGTCTGCCGGGAAAAAAAGCTAGTGAACTCAAATGCCTACACGTTGCTAAGCGAGAAGAAATGGAGAAATAGAGTGGGTCCAAATTCATAGTACAATTTACATTACTTTAAGTACAATAATGGGATGCTGTGTTCGTCCTATCAAGTCCCATTTCTATATAGGAGTAATTATTTCTGCACATTTTTTATGTTTCATGTACACATTTTTTTTTCCTGACTTTTCCTTCGTATTTTATAAATAAATTTATTTGTTTAACAAAATGCAGATAATGATACAATATGATTTTCCTGTATTTGTATAAAAATTATGGATGGGAGATTTTGATACTATAAGCCACGAAAACAAATTTTATGCATCAATATAACTTGGTGTATTTTTAACAAATATATTTCTGAATGTTCTCCTCAATTAAGGGATGTTGAATTAGTTCTTTACTACTATTCTTTGTGATCAAATAACTATGCAAATCATTCAAAAATATAAATTATTGAGTCCGTGCTAAGCACGGGCTGTGCCCATCTAGTTTATATACAAGCTAAGAACTTTTTAGGTAAAAAAATTAATCTTATAAACTTTATTTTAAAATATGAAGATTTTTTTTTAAACTTTCGGATATACATAATAAAAAACATTATAGATTATTTTTTTATTTGACCCAATTGAACTATTAGTTGAAAAGTATAGACAAGGTTATATAACACCAAAGATCATGATTTAATTATAACCGTCCTATATTGCGCCAATAATTTTTTTAAAATTAAACAAATAGCTAAGGGATGACTCTTATATCACATATTAAAATTGAATAAACATAGAAACAAATGCAGCGGGTCACTAAAGTAGAAACATATCGTCAAACATAGTTATTCAAGTATTGTGGAGAATCATTTTTGCCTTGAACGAACTTTTACACAAAAAAAAAAAAATAGTAAAGAAGAAACTCTCAAATCTTTTAGCACATGCCTATAACAATGTATATCATACTAGTGCAATCACAAACATATTTATAAATGAGCTAGAGACTCTTAAACAAAAAAAATAAAATCATAGATACCATACCATAAAATACGATTATCATAAGGACTCATAATTAATTGTCTCCTTTCATTTAGAATTTTTTTGGATATACATACAACAGAATATATGTTATATATATTATATATTACTTAGTTGAAAGATAAGGTAAATAATTTATTATCTAACTAATATGTTGACCATACAATTATCTTTATTAAGAGACTATATTCTTATAAAAAAATAAAGGGAAAAAGGTCTGAAAAATATTTCAACTTTGGTCGAAATTGTTGTTACGATACCAAACTTTATAGAGGACCTTTTACCCTGCACTATTTAATAGTGTATTTTAAAGGTATATATGTGCCCACGTGGACACATTACTATTTAGAATGATGTAATATTTATGATGTCTACGTAGACACATGTATACTTTTAAAATACACTATTAAATAGTACAGGGGCTAAAGGTCTTTTCCAAAGTTTTGTATCGTAACAACAATTTCGACCAAAATTAGAGTATTTTTCAGACCCTTTTCCCTAAAAAAATATCTTAAAGTATTTTAAATGAGAAAACACAATGGGTATATATTCAAAGAAGAAAAAAGATTATTAATGAAGATTTTTGGTAATCAGAGATGATCCCATGCGGGATATAGTGTAAACGATAACAAGCAAATGAAGGATGAGAGATTTTCGAAATGACACTTCTTTAATAAAAGAATGAATGCACAAAGAATGAAGCATTCTCCATTGAGTTCTCAGCAAAAATGAAGATTTTTTTTTTTGTTGATATATTAATTAAATTTTTGATGAATATCCCTTAAAAATATTGTATTTATGTATAATTATGTTATGATTATTGTATATCCAGCATGACTATCTACACCAAAAAAAATATTTGTATTCATGAATTCAACCATACTCATGTATCAATAACCAATAATAATACATTATTGGGAAAAAGGACAAATATACCCCCGAACTATCGTAAATGGTATGCAGATACCCTCCATCATACTTTTGGGACATTGGGCCCCTGCCGTCCAAAAACTAGAGCATATATATATACCATTTATACTAACGGACATACACGTGTCATAATCTTATCCATAGACCCGACATTTATTAGAGGGAAAAAGGACGAATATACCCCCGAACTATCGTAAATAGTATGCAGATACCCTCCGTCATACTTTTGGGACATTGGTGCCCCTGCCGTCCAAAAAACTAGAGCATATATACCCTCTATACTAACGGACATACACATGTCATAATCTTATCCACCGATCCGATATTTATTAGATATCGGATCGACGGATAAGATTGTCCGATATTTAAGGATCGACGGATAAGATTGTGCCACGTGTCCCTATTTAGTCTTCCGTTAGAGTGAAGGGCATATATGCTCTAGTCTTTGGACGACAGGGGCGTCAATCTCCCAAAAGTATGACGGAGGGTATCTGCATACCATTTACGATAGTTCAGAGGTATATTTGTCCTTTTTCCCTTTATTAAATATCGGATCGACGGATAAGATTGTGCCACGTGTCCCTATTTAGTCATCCGTTAGAGTGAAGGACATATATGCTCTAGTTTTTTTACGACAGGGGCACAAATATCCCAAAAGTATGACGGAGGATATCTGCATACCATTTACGATAGTTCCGAGGTATATTTGTCCTTTTTCCCTACATTATTTACTAAAATATAGTCCAAACAAAAGAATGTATACATTTAATATAGTACGCATAAATGGTACATAAATGTATCAAAAGTTCATTTTTAATACATATAAACAAAACACAAGCGTATGTTTATATTTATATTTATATTAGTTACATGTGTGGCGTTTTAGGGTTTATGATTGTATAGAATATTAAAGTGTGTTGTTTGTGTTTGTTACACAATATATCTAACAAAATTGTATGTGCTCATATAGTTAGATTGAGTGAACATATAATGCTCAAGCAAAAGTAAAGTCAGAATTTAAAATTTATTGATTTGAGATTTTAATTTTATTAAGTTACTGGATTCTATATTAATAACTTAACATATTTAACGAATTTTAAAGACAGATATAAAGTTTGAACTAAAACTATTGAATTTGATCGAACCCGTACCTCACATGGTAGCTTCACCACTAATTTCAAACGAACATATACAACTTCAAAACAATTGTTAGTTGCCACATATAAATCGTCGCAATTAGATAATGCGACTATAATTATTTATGTGTTTTTCTATTTAAAAAAAGGCTTTTGAATCCAATATCAAGGATCGAACCAATATTAACTCGTGAAACTAGAAATAAATAATTAAAATATGTTTACAATTATGTATGTCGTTTGTTATTTTTTATGATTATATTGATTTTAATAGTAATTATTATTGTGTTTTGAATCTTCTGATCCAATATACACTACACACTTTCCATGTGGATTACTTAATTGAAAAATACTTCACCCTTTTTAGAATATTATAAAATTCTTGAATTACACATGTCATGATTAAATATGCTCTAACCTTTTTTAGAATACTATAAAATTCTTGAATTAAGCATGTCATGATTGAATATGCCCTAATTTGTATAGTTAATTTAGAATTAGAGACATTTTTTTTAATTCTTACATTTTACTAAAAAAAAATTATTGAAGGGTTCACCTTTTTTAGAATACTATAAAATTCTTGAATTACACATGTCATGATTAAATATGCTTTGACCTTTTTTAGAATACTATAAAATTCTTGAATTACGCATGTCATGATTAAATATGCTCTAATTTGTATAGTTAATTTAGAATTAGAGACACATTTTTTTTTAATTATGTTACATTTTACTAATAAATTTTATTGAAGGGTTAACACATGTACTAGAGGGTGTTTGGATTGGCTTAAAAGTTGGTCAAACCTACTTTTAAGTCAGTTAAGTGTTTGGAAATATAAAAAATAACTCAAAATAAGTTAGGTTGTGTTTGACAAGGTCAAAAATGACTTAAAATAAGTCAAAAATGACTTAAAATAAGTCAAAAACCAAAAGTAGGTCTCCCCTATTTTTTATTTTTTGACTTAAAAGTCATTTCAATTTGACTTTTTTATTTTTGACTTAAAAACTACTTTTTTAAGTCGATCCAAACGGGCTCTTACTCTGATTCTATAAATCTAAGGAAGTTGGCATTAGCTCGAAGATATTCCTTTATTTAGTCAAAAAAATTTAGGTGTCAAGTTATTGACTGATTTTTTTCTCCTTTTTTTTTATGTGCTGGTATTCTATAAGATGATGTTCTACATGATCAACATATATAAGACTCGTTAGTTATTATGTAGGTTTAGTTCGTATGCCACGTCGAATCTCCCTATCATTTCTTCCATTTTATTTTGGTCAATGTGAGTTCATCTATTACGACTAATTTAATTTTTTTTTTCATCTCGATAAGATCGAATTTCAAAAAATAGCTTTGTAAGAGCACTAGCAACATATGAGATGATTTTAGGTATACAAGTTTGTTTTTTTAGCTATATAATCGTGCATTTTCTGAAATTTTTAAATCTGATTTTGTCCATAAATTCTCCTAGGTGATAAAAATATTTTAAATTTATTTTTTTAAAAAGAATATTTATTGTATATGCTTTCATCGACAACTAAATCCACATAAAATATCATTGCATGCAAATCAATTGAAAAACTCACCACTTATTACAATCAGTTCAAGAAGATACCAATATGATTTATCTTTTCTATATTTCCTTATGTTTATTAGTCCACTATCAACTTTATCGATTCAAGACATTCATTTATATTAGAAAATTTTATAAAGATAAAACGCTCTCTAATAAAAGTAAATTTATATCTAAAATTTAAATTCAATCTTGATTAAAAGTTATTCATCACTTCATTATAATCCTAACGGTTATAACAACTCACATACTAAATATTGTGAAAAGTGAATGTTGGTCTATATTATTTTTCTTATGACACATGTTTAGAA